CACCTGGGTAAGTGTGGTCCATGTACATGAGGATGTTCTCTGATCACCTGGAGAGATTTCCCGTAGTCATGCCACCTGCAAGCGGAGGAGGGAGGGAAGAGGGACAGGAGAAGGGAGGCAACAGGGGAGAACATAGCAGGAGTGGCATGTGGTTCGGTCCATGTACATTAGGATGTCTCGGACCATCTGGAGGGACTTGCTGTAGTCGTGCCACCTGGGGGGAGAAAAAGAGAGAGGGTGGGGGAGGAGAGGTGTGGAGTGGAGAGAGGGGAGTAGGGGAGGGAGAGAGGGGAGAGCAAATGGCAGAATTGGTCACATCACAATTGGGAACATGAGCAGCATTAACAGCATTGGCCATAAGGGTGGGTGCGGGCCATGTACATGCGTATGTCTCGGATCATCTAAATAGAGGTACAGGACGAGGCTAGGGTATGTGTGAGCATCGCAGCTGTCAAACCAACCCACCAGGATGAAGCATGCACGCACCAGCGCACACCTGAACAGAGCAGCACAAGCACCCACGCACCTCATTCTCCTCGTATTACCACCTACCTCTATCTAACCCCGCACCTCTATAGAAACCCACCTGGCATCCAGCTCGTTGAGGAACAGCGGGCCGTGCGCCGCCTCTATGGCCGCCGCCACGCCCTTGAGGTGCGCCGTCATGGTTTAGGCTCACCAGCCCCTCATAGAGGCGACGGGCATCACACTCATGCACACATCACACTCATGCACACATCACACTCATTCTCCACCTCATTTCCCTCACCTGGCGTCCAGCTCGTTGAGGAAGAGAGGCCCATGGGCGGCCTCAATAGCAGCCGCCACGCCCTTGCGGTGCGCCGTCATGTCATGGTGCTCACCAGCCCTGCATATAGGCGAGAGCCTAACAACCAGACAGCCTGCTGTGTCACCTTGCATCACACACAGTCTCCTCTCTCACTCTCCCCTCACCTCGCATCGAGTTCGTTGAGGAACAGCGGCCCATGCGCGGCCTCAATGGCAGCAGCGACGCCCTTAAGATGTGCCGTCGTGGTGCTCACCAGCCCCACCGTTTGCCATGTCACCACCACCCATTGTTGCCCCCTCACCTGGCATCCAGCTCGTTGAGGAACAGCGGCCCATGCGCCGCCTCAATAGCAGCAGCCACGCCCTTAAGATGCGCCGTCGTGGTGCTCACCAGCCCTGCATATAGGCGAGAGCCTAACCACCAGACAGCCTGCTGCGTCACCTCTCACCACCTCACGTGCCCCCCTCACCTCGCATCCAGCTCGTTGAGGAACAGTGGCCCATGCGCCGCCTCAAAAGCAGCAGCCACGCCCTTAAGATGCGCCGTCATGGTGCTCACCAGCCCTGCGTACAGGCGAGAGCCTAACCACCTGACAGCCTGCTGTAGCACCACCCCTTACCTGGCGTCTCAAGCTCACTCCGCACCCACCTGGCGTCCAGCTCGTTGAGAAAAAGCGGGCCGTGCGCCGCCTCTATGGCAGCAGCCACGCCCTTGAGGTGCGCCGTCATGGTGCTCACCAGCCCCGCGTACAGGAGGGCCTAACCCACCTCACAGCCTGCTGTGTCACCACCCCTTACCTCGCGTCACACCCTCACACCCACCTGGCATCCAGCTCGTTGAGGAACAGCGGCCCATGGGCGGCCTCTATAGCAGGCGCCACGCCCTTGAGGTGCGCTGTCATGTCATGGCGCTCACCAGCCCTGCATAAAGAGAGGCAGGCCTGCCAAACCGCCTGCTGTCTCACCTCGCATCACTCTCTATCCCCCCCTCACCTCGCATCCAGCTCGTTGAGGAACAGAGGACCATGGGCGGCCTCTATAGCCGCCGCCACGCCCTTGAGGTGCGCCGTCATGGTGCTCACCAGCCCCGCGTACAGGCGGTCACCGTACTTATGGAGTACCATGTTGTACGCGTTGCTGTGACACAGGGGGGAGACAGAGGGAGGAACAGCGGAAAGACACGCTTAGCACGGCCACCACCAGCCCCGCGTACAGGCGGTCACCGTACTTGTGCAGTGCAGCACCATGTTGTGCGCGTTGCTGGTTGGCGGGGGAAACATAGATGGGTAAACACAGAGAGGGAGGGAAAGACAGCCGTGAGTGCAGCAACCAGACCAGCCCCGCGTACAGGCGGTCACCGTACTTGTGCAGTGCAGCACCATGTTGTGCGCGTTGCTGTGAGTGGGAACGGGAGACGGACAAAGGGAGAGAGAGGAGGTAGACACTGTTAGCGCCGCAACCACCAGCCCCGCGTACAGGCGGTCGCCGTACTTGTGCAGTGCAGCACCATGTTGTGCGCGTTGCTGCAAGGTGGGCGGGAAGGCACGGCGGGTGACAGGATACAGAGAAAGACACGCTTAGCACGGCCACCACCAGCCCTGCGTACAGGCGGCCGCCGTACTTATGCAGCACCATGTTGTATGGATGGGGGATGGGGGTAGTGGTGGCGGAAGAGACAAAGTTGGAGAGAGGAGGTAGACACTGTTAGCACGGCCACCACCAGCCCCGCGTACAGGCGGCCGCCGTACTTATGCAGCACCATGTTGTATGCGTTGCTGTGAGGGGGAGAAAAATGAAAGAGAGAGATAACGGGAGGGGAGAGAGAAAGAGAGAGTACTTAGCGTGGCGTAGAGCTCTTCGAAACTGTCAGGGTGAAAGAGAAGATAACGGGAGGGGAGAGAGAAAGAGAAGATAACGGGAGGGGAGAGAGAAAGAGAAGATAACGGGAGGGGAGAGAGAAAGAGAGAGAAAGAGAGAGTACTTAGCGTGGCGTAGAGCTCTTCGAAACTGAGGAGGCTGCACGTAACGGTGGAGCTCTGGGAAGGGTGAATTGTCAGATGCGAGGAGCCAGGGAGGCAGGGCGGAAGAAGGCGCGTACCGGTAGAGCTCTTCGAAGCTGAGGCCGGAAACAGTGTGGCTGTAGACCGGCGAATGGCGTCCTCGGGAATGCCGCACGACGAGGGAGGGAGGGCGCTCTAACGAGGGCGACACAGGGAGGCCACATGTACCGGTAGAGCTCTTCGAAGCTGAGCCCCGAGGCGTTGTGGTTGTAGATGCGGGGGATGGCGTCCTCGAGAATGCCGCACGCCGAGGGAGGGAGAAAGAGAGGGAGGAGGCACCGCAACAAGGAAGGAAGGCGGCACCTCGAGAAGGAGGGAGGGCGTACCTCTAACGAAGGCGTTCCTCTAACGAGGGCGTACCGGTAGAGCTCTTCGAAGCTGAGCCCCGAGGCGTTGTGGTTGTAGATGCGGTGGATGCGGTCTCGAGATTCTCGAGTTGGGAATGCCGCACGTCGAGGAAGGGAGCAACGGAGGGAGGGACGAGGCACCTCTAGAAGGATAAAAGGCGTACCGGTAGAGCTCCTCGAAGCTGAGCCCCGAGGCGTTGTGGTTGTAGATCTGGTGGATGGCGTCCTCGAGAATGCCCCACGTCTTCTCCGCGTATCGCGGGTCCATCTCCACCTTGTGCCGAAACGGCTCGATGCGGAACGCCGACTTGCGACGCGGCTGATTCATGGCGGGCGACTCGGGGAGGAGGAGGGGGACGAGGATGTGGGGTTGGCGATGGTTATGGCGGAGGTGATGACGATGCGGTTGAGAACGGTGGAGATGTCAATTCACGGTGTATCCGCCAGGAGGGTGGTTGTTTGAGCCGATTCAGGGAGGCGAAGACGGTGGCTTCTCCGCACGATGGTGTTGCTCGCACTTATTATCTCGACAGGCACACGAATTTCAGTTATGCGTGGATAAGACGTGGACTATGCTGATGTGTGACTACGCTACGCCCTTGCCAGTGACGGCAGCAGAAAACACCACGAAAACCAGAACTCCGAACCCTCCTTTTGCGTTCCTACGCGCCTATGTCACGGGTGAAACGAAATCGAGTTCCTACTTTTATTCGTACAGCCTTCAACCTGCTTTCATGGATGCAGTTTTCACTCCGCCTTCATTGTTCAGGCTTACGGAGGCGCGGCGGTTAGGATAGGAAAGGGAACAGCAATAACAAGGAGGTCAGAAGTCACTAAGTGCTTGCTGTGATGCTGGGATTAGCAAACGTGATGTGAAGCAGACGCCATGGCTGACAGGTACTGATGAAAGGATGTTAGTTTGATGTGCTGCAAAGCAGTGTCGTTCTTGCATAGAAACGGTTGGGCACGATGCTGTGCAATTTGGAGAGTTTCTATAGAATCACCGACTTGAACCGCTTATAACCTGGCCGAACTTCGATGCATGACCTGTAAACAAGCCCTCATCACTGCCTCTGCCTCTGACGTGAAGGGTTGGCTTGGCTCGGTTCAAGAGCAGGGGCTTGATGTTGCTCAAAGCGCTGGATGCAGTGACGAGGATGTGGTGAAGGCTATCATTCTACAGTGAATGGAGTCGAATGTGTTAGAGGATCTGGAAATCTTATAGCATATTTCAAACCAGCAAACCAGAAGTCTTGAATATCTCAAACCAGCAATATATCATTCGAAATTTATTTATATTTTCAACTCTTGGATTAAAAAATTTCTTGGTTATAATATTCACATAAATGAGACAATACCATATGTTAAACAATCTGCGTCCACATTTTAACCCAAATAATATTTTTTCATCCGTATCTTAATCATTCCTCCAACCTGACGTGGTGAAATGCTGTTTGTAGAAATTCATGAATAGTGGAACTGGTAGGTTGTGAACATGGTTTATGAGCTTAAGAAGGGAGGGTTAAATAGTGATCACATGAATACGTAAGGAGGTTGCTCATAGGCGAGGCAATCGGGCCGATGGAGCAACGCCCTCCAGAACCAGACCGACACGCATGGTTGGTTGCATAGTGATGACACGCGGATTCGTATCATTGGCGGATACACCTCTTTCCAGGTGGCACGTTCCTTGTGGACAGTAGTTGACTCTCCCGTGTGAGTGAGAGCAGCGGAACGTGGGAACCAGCACACAGATGTGAGAAAATGTTTAGTGTTGAATGGGGGATACAGTATCTCGCATTACGAGCACTGTAAGCACCCAAATGCATGTCGTTTTTAGGAAACATGCGGACAAGTGTTGCTGAAAACAGGGTAATATCAACCGCAAAGAAATATTTCAGTACGGTCACCTGTGTAGAAAGAAGCGCGAAATCTGTGGGTTCAAGGCACGCGCTGAGCCCCAACTCTCCGCGTCGCAGTCACGACTCCTCATATCCATGCTGGCACAACGTCAGAGCGAGAAAGCACCAGGAAAGCACATTGTGGTCAGCAAACCAGTCTACTTGTCCTGCGTGGCACCGTTGAAGGTTACCACAGTGTGCTGAACGGTTGACGATGATGCTTTCCTGATTATGCAATGGTGGAGATCATGTCTCGGCGAATATCCCATACCCCTCCGATGCCCGAAACTCCTGCCCAATGAAAAAAGCAAACACTCCATTGCTTTTTCTCGAGCGTCGTCCCAGATCCATGCATCATCCAGCATGGATAACAGCGATTCCTGACACGCCACGTAGGACCTAAATCAGCGCCAACCGCCCTCAGTCACCTGTCAATATTGAGCAACCACTCACACACCTCCGAAGGCAGCGCGAACTGCCCAAAAACGCTTTCCCGCACCAGCCATGTCATGCGCTTGGCCTTTGCGTCCCCCATGATGGGGTCCGACCAACCAACTTCTTCCATCGGAAACTCCGTTGTGGGTTCAATTCCACATCGGCGGAAGATGTCTCCCTGAACCAGAGCGAATGTAGAGCGGAGCGCATCATTCTTCCCCAACCACCTCCCCCAAGCCTGCCTGGTGTATTTTGCCTTGCTGTCCGCGCAATCGCCGGAAGCGGATAGAGTAAATGGGGTGGGGGGAAAGTGAAAGGGGCGGGGAGGGGAGGGGAGGAAGGAAGGCGGCGCTGCTGAGCTGCCCGCAAATCTCAGTTCCGCTGGCTGAACAGCACCTGCATCAGGCGGACAAGCAAGCACACTCCTTTTTGCTAGTCCTTGGGAGCACTGGTCATCCGACTCGCACGACCCCAGGAAACAGGAGCCAGTGAGGATAGAAGTTATTTAGCTTGAAGGAGTTCGCTTTGTTGGGAGAGTCCTTGGCATCTTGTAGGTAGGAGGAATCTGCTAGTGTCTGCCTTGGCTGCTGGGGTCGTCGTGAGTGGGTTATGCTTCAGAGGTAGTTCCATGCGCCTTACTATTTCAGCGGTTTAATATATTTGTTAACGCGATTCATCATGGCTGTACGGCTTTCCTTTTAGTGACTTCTTTAATATTTAACCTTAATATTGAAGTTAAAACATCCTCGCCTTCGCCTGTAAATCAGCGCGCTGTCATTGTCGTTACCTTAGTATTGACTTACATAATTTCTTATAAATAAAGACTCTAAGGCACCCGTTATCATTAATTTTACGTCATACACCACTTCCGATTAAAGGCTTAATGAGTAACGGTCCTATTCTAGCTGGATCTCCCAATAAAAGCTGCTCCCGCGATTCCCGGAGCAGCGACGGAGTCGGCGCTGATGTGAGCAGCAGGAGCAGCAGTACCAGCGCCTCTCCTGTTGTCAAATCCGCCATTCCTCCAGCGAACGCATCGAAATCTTCTTCGTTCTTTGACACCACACCACCTGCTACCCTTTCTGACACGCCTCCCCCTTCCCGCTCTTTCTTAAGCTTGCTGCCTTTCGCGTCCCTGGGTTCCAAGCGCCTTCAGCAGCAGCAGCAGCAGCAGCCGTCGTCTCGTGCCGGCGTGTCAGCAGTGGGAGGCTCGCTGCTTGAGTTGCTCGACGAAGGATGGTTCTCCAGCAATGTCGCCGCTTGGCCCCACGATTCCGATTTAACCACAATCCAGGAAGCGGTTAACGAGACAGAGGATGCTGATAACGGGGATGCGCTTCCAGGGGTCACTGAAACGGGGAGGGTTGCTTGTGCGCACGTGGATTTAAACGCTCCGAGTTCCGCCAGCAACTTCCGCGAAGGCGCAGGTGGTGCGGCAGCGGAGTGTGCTTGCGCGGCGGCTGATGACCGAATCAGCGGGGGTGCTTCGGCTGTGTCCGAACCAAGCGGTTGTTCCAGGTCTGGCAGTCCCGAGCCTGACCCTGAAGGCAGCTTCGGAAAGTACCGGCGCCGTCGCGGCCGTTCGGGAAGCAGGCGGCGACCGAAGCGAAGCAGCAGCCTCGACGCGGCGCGCATGTCAAGACGCGTGTCGATGCCTCCGCATCCTCCGCTTCCGACGGACGAAGAACAGCGGGATTCAATAGAGACGCGAAGCAGCGACGGCGAATGCTACGAGCGCACTACCTCCCCTTACGCTTCGTCCGGGCGGGGGGCGTACGCGGAGAGGCGGGGGAGCGGTGGGGAGCATTTCTCGGCGTTTCACCCATCTCCCCCTTTCCGCTGGTCAGAGCGAGGTACGGGGGCGGCGGAAACGGAGAATGCGGCTTGCGGAAGCAGAAGCGCGGGGAAACCGCGGTATCTGCGCACGCGGAGTGTGTCCGATTATGACTCGGCGGAGTACGAGCGCAACAGCTCGCTGCGCCAAGGCGCATATGAGGCGGAAGCGGACGCAGAGGGGGGAGATGGGCTCCCCTTGACGCCCTCCGCGCGTGCAAGAAGCCTGACAGAGGCTGACGTGGAGGAGCTCCGGGGGTTCATGGATCTGGGATTCAACTTCCGCCAGGCGGACATGAGCGCGCGCATGACCGCCACGCTGCCCGCGCTGCGCCTGTATCACGCCGTGGGGAGCGTTCAGCAGAGACTCATCTCCCGCCACCATCACCACGTCGCTCCCGCTACAACCTCTCCTGCTACAGATGCGGATGGGGCTGCTGCAACCCTGTATCCCGGCGGGTTGTCGCCTGGTGGTGCGGGGGCTGCTGCTGGTGGTGCTGCCGCGGGCAGCAGCGTGGCAGTGGGGGTTGGCAGCGGTACCTCGTCGCCACGGATCTCGTGCTTCCCTGGGGACCCGTTCGTTATCGCTCGCTCGGCTGAACCCCATGCCATGGTACGGCCGCTAGCCTGAATGGCTTACGCCTCGCATTCATGGGCTGTCGTTTGTTTTGCCTAGTTTTGTTCGATGGTTTATCTGACTAATCATCCCCAGCTTTTTTCCCCTCCTTCCTCCCTCTCCTCCCGCATTCCCCCCATTTCTCATCCCCAGCAGCAGCGAGGCAGCTCCATGCCATCGTCCCCACGCCACATCCCATCTCTCATCAGCACCACCACCAGCACTACCTGCGTCAGGAGCCATAGCCATGGGCATAGTCCAGAGCATGAGCAGCAGCGGCAGGGGCAGAGGGGGGTGAGTGGCAGCCTGGATGCGGAGTGGTCGTTTGCCAACCCACAAGACCCCCCCTCGGATGTCAAGACACACCTCAGGCTCTGGGCTCAGGCCGTTGCCAGCACCGTCAGACAGACGTGCTAACCGCCGTGCTGTGCTGCGCTTGCTGCTTTTGAAGCGCTTCGATGGTCGTTTGCCAACCCGCAGAACCCCCCCTGGGACGTCAAGACGCACCTCAGGCTCTGGGCTCAGGCCGTTGCCAGCACTGTCAGACAGACGTGCTAACCGCTGTGCCGTGCTGCGCTTGCTGCTTTTGAGGCGCCTCGGTGGTCGTTTGCCAACCCACAAGACCCCCCGTCGGACGTCAAGACGCACCTCAGGCTCTGGGCTCAGGCCGTTGCCAGCACCGTCCGGCAGACTTGCTAGCCTCTCTGCTGTGCTGCGCTGCCGTTGCTGCTGCTGCTGCTGCTGCTGCTGCTGTGTTCTGTTGCCCTTGCTGCTTTTGAGGCGCTTCGATGGTCGTTTGCCAACCCGCAGGACCCCCCCTCGGATGTCAAAACGCACCTCAGGCTCTGGGCTCAGGCCGTTGCCAGCACTGTCAGACAGACGTGCTAGCCGCTGTGCTGTGCTGCGATTGCTGCTTTGCGGTGGTGCCCTTGCTGCTGCTGTGCTGTGGTTCCATGGCTGCAATGCTGCTGCCATGGTGGTTGCCAGCGAGTGATGCCTCACCTGGGCTGCCTGGGTGAATGGATGGCTAATGCTACTGCTAGGCCGTGCTGGCAATCAGAGGCACTGGGATGCGGTTGGTGGGATGTGGGTACTACGGTAACTTGAAGGTAGTGAAAGAGGGCTTTGGCTGGCATGTTTGGAAGGGCAGGATTGACTGCGCTGCCATGTCTTCGTCGCCTGATGGTTGGTTGAGCAATTCAGTGATTGACGTTGGAGTCTAATAATTATTGTATTCCTTGTACAGTGACATTTACCTACTACCTGGGAAGTGTTTTTGCATGCCTTCTCCACTTCACAATCCTGAGAAGGCCACATAATGTCTTCCAAGTTCCACTTCAGGTATCCTTCAATGTACACCAAACCAACCAACACAAGAAGCAAATCATAGTACTACTTTAGCCTGAAAGCTTGGTGGCCTGCGTTGCGTCTCATGCCCTGCACCAACAAAGGCATTTGACTGAGGCCCAGTATCTGGAATATCTACAGCGCGCTTGAAATAACACGAGCGTCGAGCGAGCTTTGAAGAAACCCGAAACATGTGCAGACGGATTTAGTTCATCTACGGGTAGTATGACGAGCTTTGTGCAATCGCACAAGGGAGGGGGGCGATGAACTGAGAACTTCTGTCGAAGGAGCAGGGCTAGGCGGATGGAGGGTTGAAATTCACAACGTTTGGAATCTCCCTGCCCAAGGAGAGGCGGAGGAGACGGCGTGAGGCGGCTGGCACGGTTGCTCGGCAGCGTCAGGGATCGAGCAAGTGACAGACAGCAGACAAACCCATCATGATCAGTTGCGGGATGGGAAATCTGGCATGATCGGTCGCCACATCGCGGTTTTGACAAGGGCGGAAAGTCACAGAAATGTGACATTTCCGTGACTTTTGCGTGACAAATTTGCGTCACGGAAAAGTCATGGATGGAAGTCCCAAGAAGTGAAGTCACGGGAACGTCATGTTGGAGTTCAGAAATTTCGTACAGAAAGTCCCTGAAATGTGCCTGGCGAAGTGATGTTCTCGTCACTTCTCGTCACTTTTTTGTTTCACATGCCACGTGGCGAACTGGCGTTACATCTTTCTAGATATTTTGCCAGGTGTTCATGTTGGTGATTGGCCAAAATGGACCAATCAATGTCTGTGATGGGTGTGCCTAAACGTAATTTGATTGGCTAGCGATTCTGAATAACGACCGCATATCGCACACGAAAAACAGCATCGCATTGAACACGTCGGAAATTCAAAAGAGCACAACCAGGAGTTCCATTGGTGTTTTTCATAATTCGTTATTATTTAAACGCGTACATTGACATAGCACCACAACCTCACGTCTGCACAATTGCACGTCCATATGGACACATAGCTAACGGGCTCTACATTAAAGCCTATCTAGTAACTAAGCCGACCAGATGAGGTAGTTTGGAACTAAGCCGACAAGATGAGGTCGGACGGGACTTGATGACACCAGGACAATCAAACACGGATCGGTTTGGTGCCTGCATAAAAAGGGTCAAACGTTATGGAAACTGCAATCAAGGCAACAGCAAAAGATCGTGACACGTGAGAGAATAAAGGAACAACGAGAACAGCTCGACGACGAGCATGGTGTGCGCGCCCATGAGCGCATGATGCGCAGCCTGCACCGCCTGCTCGCTCTCCGCGTCCAAAACCGACGTCGCCTCGTCCAGCAGCAATACCCGCGGATTCCGCAGAATCGCCCGCGCGATCGCCACGCGCTGCTTCTGCCCCCCGACAGCTGCGTACCTCGCTCACTCACCTGCGTCTCGTAGCCCTGCCGGGGGAGGGGGAGGGTAAGGAGGGTAGAGAGCGGTAAGGATGGGAGTGCGAGGGTGGGAACAATCGAGAACGAGGCTGATGTGAAAATAGGGACGGAATGATTTTCCGCGAGTGGTGGTAATATCGCGGCACCGCTCACCACGTGTAGACGACTTGCGCAGTTCCTTCCGGCATCGCGCCGCGCATCAGCAGGTCATCGTCTGTGCGCTTGCGCCATTTCTGCGCGCAGAGAAGAAAGATCACTAGGGGGCGGAGAAAGAAACGAGGGTAGCGGAGAGGTTAGGCTAAAATGGGACGGCATCGCGGAAAATACAAGGCGGAGAGTCGTGTCAATATGATTTTTACGTCACTATGACGTGACATTTTTGCCTTACGAAATAGACATGGACAGAAGAGAAATGGACATTTGAGCACTGCCACGCAGAGAGAAATGGACACACATGAGGAAGAGGGAGAACCGAGACCAGGGGAAAACAAACGGCGAGAGAAGACGAGCGAGCTAGCTAATACATATTAGCTATCACAGCGTAGCAAATGAAAACGATATTAGCAAGTGGGGAAACGAGCGGAGCCGACTGACCGGGCGGTGGATTATTTACGCTGGTCGTGCGGAGGTGGTTACCGAGTTGCGGAGATTAACAACCTGGGTGGGAGGTGGTGAGGCAGGGCGGAAGATAAGGAGGGTAGAGTCAGAGTGAGATGTGCAATTGCTACTAAATGATGAAATGCAATATCATTAGGGACCGCATGTAGGAACCAAGAGTGCACGGTAGCTTCGAAAATTGCTAGCTGCAGGGGTTGCCTAAAAAATATAAACAATGGCGGAACTTCTAGACATAGAGCGCGTGAAGATGCCTAGAGCTGGGGAGACTTCCTGAGCTTAGTGAGGAGAATAACTGGGTGAGGAGTGTGACTTCAACGGAGGACCACATACGGTACAAACTGTCGTAAAGTTTGACAATGACGTGGTAGCAGAGGGCATTTGTATGGCAAGGCATAGGGTTTGAAGGGGGGAGGGGAGGTGGGGGGAGGGTCGAGTGGTTTGAGGTTCGGTGTGCTGATGTGTGGATAAATGGAGGCTGTGAGTGTTGATTCTGTTTTTGTGCGCTGGAACGATTGCTTGGGACGATTCGCTAGGCTCGGCTAAGTCGGTTCGGAGATATGGGTGGTTACCACAGGTGTGATGTGGCACGTTCTGATATTAGTTCGAGGTGATCTATTGGCCTAGGCATAGCTGTGATTGGTTTTGCTTTCGAACCTTACCAAGCTTACGTGTACATTTGACGCTGTACTTGAACGGAAAGACTTCGTTTTATGTTTTTCACGATATCAACGACATCTGTTGCCTCGTTTTTTTCCCTCATCGCTAGTTGTCGTGTGGATTCGTCAGTTTCGTGAAACATTTTCACCAACTTGGTTTGGTGAGCTCGGTCAGCAACACAAAGTTGAATCGCATACAATCGCTCTGAACCACTCATAATCTCGGGTCCAACCAGCCCACCCGACCGTGTTTGCGGCTAACACCTTCAGGTCACTGGGATGTAACTGTCGCGTGGCTTTTCTATCACAAAACTGTGCTATGGAAATGTGACATTACCGTCACATTTCCTCTGGGATGTTTTGTGTGAGTTCGGGGACATTCTGTGAGCTTTTTCGTAGAAAAACCTACGGGAGCCAAAATTTTGCGTTCGACTTTTCCGCGATGCAGTATACCCCTGAGGGTATTTAGAACAAACGGGGAGGCAGAATGGCATTGTTGATGCCGTGGAGACAAAACAGGTGGATCTTATCTGCTGCTATGTCACATCGGGTTACCACTGCCCTCTGCGACGGCTTCTTTGCGCCAGGAGGCCCGAAAATCAGGGTGCTCCTGAGCGGTGCTCTTTGCCTCAAGAGCCATACACCGTGCAAGGTGGGGAACCTCGTACCGAAAGGAAACATTCGAAGGACCCAGCATTGACGCCTATAAAGCAACACGTGATAGTTGAGGAGTTTGACCAACTTGGGCCCGGAGAGCTGCTCTCGGACGCGCGTGGGAAGGGTCGCGAAGGCTTTGTCGCTGGGAGCGAGCAGGGTTAAGGGCTCCCTCTGAATGTACCACGAGACGAAGTCCTCTAAACCTGGATGGGAAGGGAGAAATAATGAGTATGCTGGATTCATGAATGAAAGAGAAGAAGAAAGAAAGAAGCAGGGAACCTAAACGGAAACCCAACGAGACAGGCAATGCGGCAGATGGGACTGACAGGTTGCTAGAGAGAATGTGCAGGAATTTTAGTAGGGTTGAGAAGTTACCAGATGATTGGAGGTACGTCATGTACGTACTGTACTCGCCCGTGTTGGAAGGAAACGGTGGTGGGGCGGTGGTATGCCCCCAACCCACCGAGGGCACTTCGGTGCCTTCGATCCCTTTGACTAGGGATCGGTGGGGTGGCACCGATTGACTTCGGGAGACTCACCCTTCGGTGCCACGTGGCGGCACCACATTCCAACCTTCAAGTGCAAGGCGAATTCGGTGTGTTCGGTGTGAAATTCGGTGGTCGAATTTCACCCCAACCGAAATGTTACACGCGGCGCATTCGCGACGCGAGTGTAGCGATGTGATGTTACATGTGCGGTTCGATGTAAT